ATTCGAGTACACAGTGATGCCATTCGGGTTGACCAACGCACCGGCGACATTTTAAATGATCATGAACGAGGCGTTCAGGCCGCTCTTAGATAAATGCGTGATAGTTTACATCGTCGACATCGTTGCCTACAGTCGCGATAAGCAGCAGCACTTAGCAGATCTGGAAGCAGTATTTAAAGTTTTAGATGAGCACCGCCTATTGACCAAGGGTTCCAAGTGCGAGTTTTTTCAGGACAGGCTAGAGTTTTTGGGGCACGTAATTTCGGAGGCTGGAGTTGAGATCGACCTAAAGAAGCTGGACACGGTCAAAGCATGGCACCCCCCGACAAATATCACGCAGATGCTGAGTTTTTTAGGGTTCTTTAATTATGTGCTTCGGTTCGTCCCCGACATGGCGCGATTAACAACCCCACTGATGGATCTGCTGCAGAAGGGGGTCGCTTTTACGTGGGGTGAGAAAGAGCATGCTGCCTTCTCTGCCTGAAAAATGTTCTCTTCTCACCGCCCGTTCTGCGCTTGCCAGCCCACACTGCCCATTTGAAGTAGTTACAGACGCAAGCGACATCGCCATCGGAGCCATACTGCTACAGGATTTTGGCAACGGCCTACAGCCCATTGCACACGAGTCACGAAATCTGCATCCGCCGGAGAAAAATTACCCGATACACGACCGCGAAATGCTTGCAATCGTGCATGCGTTCAAAGTGTGGCGCTGTTACATGACCGGCGCAGATGTGACAGTACGGACAGACCACAAATAACTACACTACCTACGCGCACAGCCCCACTTCAACCCATGACAGATCCGCTGGCTCGATTTCCTCGAGTCGAACTTCCACTACACGGTCACCTAAAGAAAAGGGGCATCGAACATTGCCGATGCACTAACCCACCCCACTGCCCAAATCCACGCCATACTACTCACCCAGTCCACCCCGCTACTGATATGACAATTTACCCACGGCTATCAAACCGACCCATTCTTCACTGGTGGAAATTCGCAGGAGTTCGCAGCAGCAAAGGGGGTTTATTACGTTAAAGCCGGCACCGACCGCATCTGGGTACCGAGCTACACGTTACTACAGGAATTACTGCAACAAGAGGCACATGACGGAGTTACCTCAGGCCATTTCGGAGAAGAGAAAACATGGCAGTAACTGCAGCGGTATTATTACTGGCCAGAAATGCTGACCGACGTGCAACGACACGTGGCATCGTGTCCCACCTGCCAACTCATGAAATCATCACGGAAGCGGCCGGCAGCACAGTTGCAGCCGATACCACCCCCAGAGCATGCTTGGCAGCAGGTGACGATGGACTTCGTCACAGGGTTACCGGCTGGAGCAAGTGGGAATGATGCAATCCTGGTCGTCGTCAATCGGCTGACGAAAATGGCACATTTCGCAGCCTGCAAAGAAACAGCCCGCCTCTTCATCTCCACCGTCGTGCGACTGCATGGGATATCAGCAGCGATCATCAGCGACCGCGACACGAAATTTACCAGCAAATTCTTGCGGAACATGTGGCAGCAGTCTGGCACACAACTACAGTTTAGTTCTTCGTACCACCCCGAGACCGACGGACAGACAGAACGGACAAATCTGACCATGGAACAGCTCATCCGAGCTATGTGCGACGACCCGACCACCTGGGAACAGCAACTGCCACTCATCGAGTTCGCGTACAGCAACTCGCCATCCGCCACGACCCAACAGTCACCGTTTTACCTGGACTACGGACAATACCCCACAGTACCCATGACCCCGAATCCCGACAGCAGGGTGCCACGCCGCAACAGTTCGCATAAAATTTACAAGCAGCACGGACTCGAGTAGCAGATGCAATTAAAAAAATTAACAGCATCGATAAGCGCAACGCTGACCGCCACCGCCGACCTGTCACTTATCAGCCCGACGACCTCGTGCTACTTGACACTAAAAACCTTCGCCTGCCCATCACCCCATTACGCCCCCGATATTGCGGGCCATTTTGCATCAGCCACATGATCACAACCGTCACCGCCCATCTCCTCCTCCCTGATGACTGGTACGTCAATCCACGTCAGCCTGCTTCGCCTATACGTGCCATACACCAGCTGACTGCCTCGCAACCGCCCCGCCAGCATGGCACGACTGCCAACGGAGCCAGTCATCACGCCCAAGAAAATCTTGAGCCACCGCGTTCGCGATCCACGGGGAGCCCGCAGGATCGAATTTTTGATCCGCTGGAAAGATCGCACGCCCACTGAAGACAACTGGGTTCCCCTGGACATAATTGAAAATCACCCCGTCCTCACCGAGAACCTGCACAGCCGCAATTATCGGGATGTACACGCGCCTTCATAAGGAGGGCCTCCTTAGGGGGTGAGGGGGGGGGTTGGGGGGGGGGGGGGGGGGGGGGGGGGGGGGGTAGTGTAAGGAAAAATCCTTTTCCTTACTCGCGCCCCTGCTCATCGCGTACACCACTGTTCCCGCCAGCAGCACCCAACAGTAAATCGTTACCACTGGCGACGATCGCTTCGATACTGTTCCTGCCACTGTTTACGGCGCGACCCAACCTCACGGTTCGATTGGTAACCCGCGCTTCGGACCTCCGCCTCGACAATTCTCAAACCTCGGCGCTACGCCTGTCACGCACCCCAATTGCACACATTACCATTACCACTGTAGTTTCGCTATATATTCTTCGCTCATGCCTTCGCTAATTGTACTTTTGCTTCGATAGTGCAATTCTCTCTCGCTCGTTCAATTGCACTCGTAACAAATACTCTTATACCCTACCCTTTGACCTAGTCGACCATTCCATGCCTCATACTTCAACACATATTCCCTGTACTTTTATTTATAAGCTTGTATTTGCATGCTTTTAATTATCTCAATCATTTTACATTCACTCTGATTTGAGGTCAAGGGCCCACCACCACTACTCAGTTGTGCACGAACCTTCCCAAGGTGATCCTAGGGTCGATCAACATTTGAGCGCAATAATTGCAACGGAAGATATTGACCTCAGATCATAGCAAATTTAGAATGACTGAGATGATGATACCATGCAAATGCAACGATTTATATAAGAGTACGCGGTAATCCGAAAGTCCTAGACTAGCCATGTACTTTTAGAGGTACGTTCCCCTATTCGAATTCAAATCCAACCGTGCGGTGCGGGCAGTTACGAAAACTGTTCCCGCAAAATTCCTCCTTCCTGCAGCTGCCCGACGATGTCTGCCCTGACAGTCCAGATGCTTCGTAACCGTGCGTGTCGCTTTGACCCTTCACCTTCGTACTCTCTTCTGTGTTCCTCATTCTTGCTACTAGCAAGAATTCACAGTAACACTTCTCATGTTACTATTCGTAACAGCTTGCATGCCGTTACTGTTTGCTTGCTTTCTCTATGAATGTGCGCCCACATTTTCGCTCACAATGTACTGGTTTGACCTTTTGGTGCAATCTTCAGTCGCTCGTTTAATTGCACTCATAACAATATTATAACCTTTCTCTATACTCTTGACGAAGGCCTTCTTGTTGCATGTGAAGACACACTTGACGAGGCAGACAAGTCTCTGGCTTCCATGCCAAACAAAGCTGGAGTGCTGCGCTCCCCAAGAAAGACTTCTGGTGTAGGCTTGCTGGCTCCTCTTCGTTTGTTTGCTACGTCCCTCTGTGAAGCGTTGCCAAGGATTTTCGGACTTGACGGTGTCCGCAATGTGTTCCAGTTTGCCGTCCACTCGTGTGAAATAAGACAAGCGGACGGTTATGAGGGAAAGGCAAAGGTGGTGGTTTTCCTGCCAGCAATGCAAGGTGGTGGCCAGTCCACTGTTCTCCCGCCACGGGTTAGGCATTTGCGTGGCTTTAGCTCTTCACCGTTACCACCTAATCTCAAATCTACGGCAGCATGACGTTGAGTGGTGGACAGCCCTTTTTGCTTGCCTCGCCGCACGCTTGAACTTCTCTTCGATAACCGCATTGGCAGCAATTTTTTCCTTAATCATATCTTTATGGAGCCTGTTGTTTGACCTCGCTCCTTTGGATCTCGTGGCAGGTTGTTTGTCACACGGGTGTGTTTCCGACGTTGTAAAAGTGCCCCGGGCAGCCCTTCGCGGAATCAATTACTGTAGACAGAGTTTCCTCGAGTTGTGTTTACGTGAAGCTCAGGCTTCACTGTACCCTGGAAGGACCTTGGCTCGGTCGGTGCTTGTCCTACGCGGAAAACGACGAGCAGGGTGGGAGAGACGTCAGAGCAGAGCAACGGAGAGGGCGAAGCAGGCATGGAAGGGGTCTAGGTTTGGGCGGGCGGGAAAGGGTGCGATGCGAAGCGAACGGCAGGGAAACAGGGAGAGGAAGAATCAAGGATGCCGTGGCTGGAAACGAGTGCTGCCGAACCAACTCTTCGCCAGCCGAGCTATCCCTGCCACTCGCGTCATATCCTCAGGGATCTCCGTCTTCCATGTGCGGTTGCGTGCATCACACCCATGGTCTTTTCCTCGGGAATCGCGCCGAGTCACTCATTTTCAGCGAGTTGTCACCCCGACCCGGGCCAAGCTCCTCGTGCGAACGCCACTGGATCACGAACGCAGCCGTCTTTTGAGACTTCCCCGCCTAATTCTTTATGACGAAAGTCATGGCCCTCTGGCAGCTGACACTAAATTTGTAGCCGCATGCATTAACGCTGTGAACCAGCCGGATGATTCATCGTTTCTAGTAACAGTTATACAGAGTCGGACTCTACTACTAGGAGGCCTTTGTCAATCCGAGAGGAGAGCCGAACCAGCGACAGCCCACTGAGCCGTGCTGTTCTCTTCAAAGTCTCTGCTCAGTGACGAGCGATTTCGGCCTCGCAGACTTGATCATCGAATCGTTTTCTCTTGTGGCTTACGGCGTCTTATTCCTTCTACAGAGCCACTGGCAAAGTTTTCGACTGAGAGGTCGATCGAGCGGCTTCAATCGGAGCAGGAACGATGAGCTCTGGTAACGTTAGGTTAAGTGGATTCGGAAAGGCAACTTATGGTGTCAGTCGTACTGACTTTAAAGGGAGGAGCCGGCGCCAGCGTGCGACAGGAGCACTTTGGAAACCGGAGGTACATTCAACTGAACCGTTCTTCACTCTGCGTAACCGCTGAGTGATACCCATTTCTTACACTGAATCTTTGAAGTTCTTATTTTTTTCTCAAATGAGGTGGGTAAGTTGTTTGAGGTGACGTCTTGGCTCGGATGTGTGTGCAGGAAGACAGGATCTTATTGGCCCACGTGGCAAGGCATGGCACAAAGAAGTGGAGGCATATCAAGTCCATGGGTCTGCTCCCCACGCGAAACCACAAGGCGTGCTGTAACCGCTTCATCGTTCTTACCAGGTACACACGGTTCTGCTTTGACGCACGACTCTGCTTTTACGGCTCTGTGCATTGGAGTGGCGTGACTCTGTCGAATCAGTAGGTACTACTGAGTCGACTCAAGGCTCTGATGACGCATTGATCTGCACAGCCTCAATTGGGTTGACTCACTCTCAGTGCGTGGAGAGGTGACGAATCTCCACCTTTCACATTGTACACGTCTGGAATATGACGGTATAATTCTACTAAGTGTTGACTTTGCTGAGAGTGCATGTGTGGCGACCAACCCTTGGACATGTTAGATCTCTTTCTGTACTGCGCCGTCTTTTGACACGTGCAGGTGGTAATTGTCGAAGCTGCGTCCGCTCACACAGGGCATATCCGTCTGAACCGGGCTGAGGATGTTGGAGTGTCATGTTTAGAATTCTAAAAATTGACTCCGTTCAACCCTCTGACATGTCCAATCTCTTTCTGTACTGCGTCATTCGACACTGGCAGGTGATTGTCGAAGCTGCGTCGGCTCACACAGGGCAGGTCCGTCTGAACCGGACTGAGGATGTAACGATGGCGTCGACGTGGGAGGAGAAGCAAGTGCGCGGAGCAATTTACCTCTGAGATGTTCCACTTGTTCTTGCACTTCTCTCTTCAGACTCATGACAGATGCAAGTACGACGAGCGAGCAAACCTCTGACACGTTCATATCTCTTCCTGTTCTGTGCTGTGTCTCTCTGACACGTACAGGAGATAGTAGAAGCTGCGTGAACTTGCACGAGGCCGGGCCGTCTGAACCTGGCTGAGAATGCAACGACAGCGATGACACAGATGGCAGTGCGGCAAGCAACCTTCCGACATGACAAGTTCTGTTTTGTTCGGTTTCTAATTCTTCTCGTGACGTTTCTTCCATTACGTGCAGGCAGTTCTCGAGGCTGCATCAGCTCTCAGAATCCCCAGACTTTTTAGGCGCCTCAAAAGCCCTCCGACATGACATGTTCGACTTTGTTCTATTCCTTCTCGTGAAATTTCTTCCAATATGTGCAGGAAGTTCTCGAGGCTGCATCAGCTCCCTGGAGCCCCAAACCCGGGTGCAGATGCGGTTTTTGAAGCGCCTGAGAAATCGTCGAGGTTTCTACTCACAGGAGTCCCAGACTTGGCTGCAGAAACGATTTTCAAGGCGCCTACAGAATCGCCGTCGACATTGCGTCAACTCACAGGAGCCTCAGAAATGGGTGCAGAGGCGACAATCCCAATGGCATCGGCAAAGGATATGGCGATGATGATTATGCAGAGGACATCAAAAGAAAGGGAAGACCCGTCAGGGTTGCTTCATCAGCTCACGGGAGACTCAGGAATGGCTGCAGAGGCGACAGCCCCAATGCCGATGGCATCGGCAAAGGATATGGCGATGATGATTATGCAGAGGACATTGAAAGAAAGGGAAGATTTGTCGAGATTGCATCAGCTCGCAGGAGACTCAGGAATGGCTGCAGAGGCGACAATCCCGATGTTCATGGCGTCGATAAAGGATATGCCGATGATGAAAAGGCAGAGGGCGTTGAAAGAGCGAGCTGACTGCGACCCTCTCAGCTCTTCATCATTCTCCGACTATCAGGACGAAGATGCCTGCAGGAGCGCTGCACAGGAACTGCTGGAATCAGGTCCTGAGGAGTTGACGGAGGCAACTCAGAATCTTTGCGAGGGAACTGCTGAAGAACTGCTACTAGAATCAGGTTCTGAGGCGCATCAGAGTGTCTACAGAAGCGTTGCTGAGGAGCGGTTTGACTTAGCTACACCTGATTCTCAACCTGGAGCAATGGTTCCGGCAACCAACAGAGGAAATGTGGAGGAGGAGGAGGAGGAAGCGGCAGATGCAGCAGCAGGTCTTGTTTCAGAAGAAGCATTGGATTCTGCAACCAATGAGGCAGCACAGGAGAGGATGCTTGGAATCACAACTCCAGCAGTAGCAGCAGCCACCGTCACCATTGCATCTGCTCCCTCATCACCCATTTTGGAATTGAATGTAATCGAAACATTCCTGCTGGGTGAAATGCCTCAGCAGCAGCAGCAGCCGGAAAGGGTTTTCAACGCCAGCAGCAGCATACAGGGTGAATCGGTCTGGGCACCTGACCAGGATGTTGCGTGTGCTACAGGAGTCAATACATGTGCCACCCCTGCTGGCCAGCCTGGCATTGACAACTACCAATGCTGCAGCGTGAATTGGGATGGCACTGCAGTTCTTTCCCCCTTGGCTGATTCGTTTCCTCCTGCTCCCGGTGCAGGAGCAGCACAGGAACTGCTTCCCCCTGCTGCTGTGCCTCCTGATGTGGTTGATCTGGTTTTTGAGAATTCTCAAAAACCAGCAGGAGCAGCACAGGAACCGCTCCCTCCTGCTGCTGTACCTTCTGACATGGTTGAGCCTGGCTGTGCCGTCGTGGCATTGGCTGATAATTCCGATTGGCTCGCTGCAGCTGATAATGCTATCGCATCGTTCCTTATCGAGGCTGAGCTGATCAGAATCAATAAAGTTCTGCTGCAGACCGCAGAATCAGCACCGCACTCCACTCCTCTGTCTTCCTCCCCTGGCAGTTCGCTAACAGCTATCCAGGACCAAGGCTCCTAAAGGCTATCATCCCAATTAACCCAGTCAACCCACCCTAACCACTCAAGCTTCCATCTGAACCCCATGGAAGTTACTGTTCTTACTGCCACTGAATTACTACCAGCAATGCCGTCTACTGTTAGCATGTCAGCGCCCTCTCTGCTCTCATCTCAGTTAACCCACCCTAACCCCTCAAACTTCCGTGCAAACCCCTTGCAAGTTGCCACTCCTACTGCCACTGCGCAAGAACCAATGCTGTCTACTGTTAGCATGCCAGCGCCCTCTCTGCTCTCATCTCAGTTAACCCACCCTAACCCCTCAAACTTCCATGCAAAGCCCTTGCAAGTTGCCACTCCTACTGCCACTGCGCAAGCACCAATGCCGTCTACTGTTAGCATGTCAACGCCCTCTCTGCTCTCATCTCAGTTAACCCACCCCGACCACTCAAATTACCATGCGAACCCCTTGCAAGTTGCCACTCCTACTGCCACTGCGCAAGCACCAATGACGTCTACTGTCAGCATGTCAGCGCCCTCTCTGCTCTCATCTCAGTTAACCCACCCTAACCCCTCAAACTTCCATGCAAACCCCTTGCAAGTTGCCACTCCTACTGCCACTGCGCAAGCACCAATGCCGTCTACTGTCAGCATGTCAACGCCCTCTCTGCTCTCACCAGTGCCTTCATATGCTGCTGCTACGCCTCCCTCCATTGACCCTTTTGCTACTTCTCCGTCCGTTGCTGCTGCTCCTCCCGCTGTCACTCCTGCTCCTGCATCTGCTGTTGCTGTGTATTCTCTGGGGTGCATCCCTTTTCCACAACCCAGGGGCAGAGAGGCTGTGAGCAGAGAGGCTGTTGCTGTCGATTTTCTGGGGTGCATATTTCTCCCAGAACCCAGGGGCAGTGAGGCTGTGAGCATGGAGGGGTGTTTGAAACCAGACGAGCTGTTTGAAGCGTGGTGCAACGGATCCTTCACCCGAGTGAGTGAGTGGTGTGATTGGCAACTCATTGCATGGTCTGGTTGGTTTGGTTGGTCTGGTTGGCACTTGATAATCTAGGAGGCGTCTCAAATGCATGGTGCAATGGGTCCTCCAGAGTGAGTAGGTCAGTGGCATGAGACGGCTGGCATGAGACGGCTGGCATGAGATGTCTGGCATGAGACGGCTGGCATGAGACGGCTGGCATGAGACGGCTGGCATGAGACGGCTGGCATGAGACGGCTGGCATGAGACGGCTGGCATGAGGTGGCTGGCATGAGACGGCTGGCATGTGATTGCTGGCATGTACATGGCGTTGAATGCCATGGATTGATGTGCAGTTGTAGCATATAGGTTAAGATGTTGTGTGCAGCAATCGGTATTGCATAAATGTTGTTACACGTTGACGATGGCACTTTCTTTGTGTTTTTTTCTTCTTCTTCCGTGTTTCTTGTGTGTGGCAGGTACTTCACGGCTTCTAGGTGAAAATCTGAAGCTCTTGCTGACATATACAGTTGGATAACTCTGGCTGATACCGTAATACCAGTATTTATGCTCAGGGCTCATTCTTACACCTAATACAGAGTGGTCCGATCCGAGCCTGACAGGAGGATGTGATGTGAGACTACACCCTTGGGGTTCAGTGTTTTAGTCGTGATCTTTTTTCTGTACTATGATTACATTTCTGTTTACATTTTGTTTTCTTAAAAGCTAAACCAACCTTTGGTGATGAGGTGATGATGAAGTGAAGGTCCCTTTGATGTTACTGTATCCACTGTTTCAATTAGAATGCAACCATCTTCTCCACCTTCATCTTGTCATGATAATTTGAATGTGTGTTCTGTGAAGTATTCCACCACTGCCGAGAGAACTGTTCAAAAGACCTTTCATTAAATAAGCACAGAACAACAAAGCCCACCGACTAAACTGTCAAATGTTGTAGCCTGTAGTGAGGTTTGTCGTAGGGGGTACAGATGTTAGGGTTTGTTATATGTACCCCAACCCACATCAATGAACCAACACTTTCATTCTTGACATGAACCCACCCTACCCTGTCCCAGATTTCACCTCTTACTTATTTTATCACTCTGGGACTCGGAACCAACCTAACAGAGCCATGGCATTATAACTACCATGCCACAAACAAAAACCCTAGAGAGACAGGCCGAGATTGGAGCTGAGAGATGAACCACTGCAGTGGTCAACCCCGACAGAAGAGGAAACCGAATGGGCGCTTGCAGGGGTTGCAAGCCATGTTGACGATCACATGCGCACTGCAGGCACGGACAACGACAGAAGAGAGAGAACCGTGGTGTGGGAGTGAGTGAGAGCAAATCAAAGATTAACCAAAGGGGCGCTTGCAGGGGGTTGCAAGCCAGGTTAACGATCACATGCGCACTGCATGTGCAGAGAGCAGCAGGAGCGGGAGGGGGGGGGACCGTGGAGAGTGAATGGGAAATTCAAGAAGTAACCAGAGGGGCGCTTGCAGGGGTTGCAAGTCAGGTTGACGATCACATGCGCTCTGCAGGCGCAGGCAACAACAGAAGGGTGAGAACCGTGGTGAGGGAGTGAGTGAGCCAATTCAAGAGGAAACCAAAGGGGCGCTTGCAGGGGTGTGCAAGCCATGTTGACAATCACATGCGTGCTGCAGGCACGGGCAACAACAGAGGGATGTTTTGCGCATTGGATTGGGGTTTCCGCTTAGGGTTCATTCAGCGTGTTAACAAAAAAAAAAAAAAAAAAAAAAAAATGGAACTAGCGATAATGTGGAGGCACAGATAGTGAATGAGCTGAGAGGAGAGTAGTAGTAACAGGGAGATGGCTTATTTTTTAGAGTTCTCAAATGAGATGGAACAGGCGAGCGATAGGACGCACAGATGGTGATCATGCTGGTGAGTAAGAGGATGATGGCTTACTCCTCGTCATGCATGTTGTTAGTGTCAAACGCCGAGTCCTTGTATGCAAACATGAGAATGTTCTTGCCCTTGGGGTTGAAGGTCACAGGGCTGCCATCACTCGCAGACCGCTCGAACCTGCCAAGCAAGAGAGATGACAACAGGAAAAGGGGGTCAGCTTTTCATCAACCCAGAAGCCAAAACCCACATAAGGATTGATAGGTACGGTGCTGCCTAGCATCACTTGCAGACCGCTCGAACCTGCCAGCAGAGCAAGAGAGATGGCAACAGCTAGAGGGTCAAAGGCTGAGATGACTTATGCAGTCGAACCAGACGTCACTTTGCACCACACTGCACCGCACTGCACCACACTGCACCGCACTGCACCAAACTGCACCCCACTGCCGTGACAGTCAATGTTGGCATTTTCAGAGGCGCATGCGCGACACAGGGCCACACTGCTTCTCAGGGCCCATAGAATCGCACAGGGGAACATAGGGTCGCACAGGGACACATAGGGTCGCACAGGGACACATAGGGTCGCACAGGGACACATAGGGTCGCACAGGGACACATAGGGTCGCACAGGGACACATAGGGTCGCACAGGGACACATAGGGTCGCACAGGGACACATAGGGTCGCACAGGGACACATAGGGTCGCACAGGGACACATAGGGTCGCACAGGGACACATAGGGTCGCACAGGGACACATAGGGTCGCAAAGGGACACATAGGGTCGCACAGGGACACATAGAGTCGCATAGGGGCACATAGGGTCGCACAGGGACACATAGGGTCGCACAGGGACACATAGAGTCGCACAGGGACACATAGGGTCGCACAGGGACACATAGGGTCGCACAGGGACACATAGGGTCGCACAGGGACACATAGGGTCGCACAGGGACACATAGAGTCGCACAGGGACACATAGAGTCGCACAGGGACACATAGGGTCGCACAGGGACACATAGGGTCGCACAGGGGCACAGAGGGTCGCACAGGGGCACATAGTGTGACACAGGCGCACACAGTGTCGCACAGTGGCACAGCCGGCCATAACTCACTTGAGAGAAGCACCACCACCCTTCCTCTTGATCTCCAGTTTGGCCGGCGTCCAATCAGTGCTCTCCGCCACGCTGGCGCCGCTCTCGCCCGTGAGCGCATGGATCGTTGCTGACGTGGCAGTGCTAGAGGTGACGGTGATGGCATCGCCTGTCATCTCCCCATCGGTGGAAAAGCCGACGCTGAACCAGCCCTTGCTGGCGGGGCCAGTCGCACGCAGGTCAAACTTCACCGTGCTTCCCACCACCTTCCAGTTCAGGCGCAGCCTGGCAGAGGGGAGGCGTGGGGGGGGCGTGGGGGGGCGCAAAGGGGCGTGAGGGGGACCTTGCTGGCGGGGCCTGATGCGCGCAGCAGTGCTCCCTACCACCTTCCAGTTCAGGCGCAGACTGGCAGAGGGGAGGCGTGGGGGGGGCGTGGGGGGGCGCAAAGGGGCGTGAGGGGGACCTTGCTGGCGGGGCCTGATGCGCGCAGCAGTGCTCCCTACCACCTTCCAGTTCAGGCGCAGCCTGGCAGAGGGGAGGCGTGGGGGGGGCGTGGGGGGGGCGTGGGGGGGCGCAAAGGGGCGTGAGGGGGACCTTGCTGGCGGGGCCTGATGCGCGCAGCAGTGCTCCCTACCACCTTCCAGTTCAGGCGCAGCCTGGCAGAGGGGAGGCGTGGGGGGGGGCGTGGGGGGGCCGCAAAGGGGCGTGAGGGGGACCTTGCTGGCGGGGCCTGATGCGCGCAGCAGTGCTCCCTACCACCTTCCAGTTCAGGCGCAGCCTGGCAGAGGGGGAGCGTGAGGGGGGCGTGGGAACATGGGGCGTAAGGGGGGGAAGGGAAAGGGATGGGGGGAAAGGGGGGTGGGGAAGGGGGAGAAGGGGGGATAAAGGAGGGGGGTCGTTCTTTTGGAGGGGGGAGAAATGTAAGGGGAGAGAATAGGAAGGGTGAGTGAATGTGGGTGCAAGGCTTTGAGACTGAAGCGCCGGTTACAGTTCAGCTTGTTTCAAACGTTTCACTTACGTGCAGGAGAACGACGTGTCTCTGTTACGCACCCTTGGCAGCAGATTCGATATAATCTCTATTCGCTACAAGCACCAAAGCACTCACCCTTTGAAAGGACGCACGGACGAGGTGTAACCCTTGATGTTGGAGTACGTGCAGGGAAGCGGCTTATTCTCGGCGAGCACACTCAGCGGCAAATTCGACACCCCCAGCAGCATCACCAGCAGGGCAGCCGCAGCAGTGTTCATGCTCCCAGAGCCACGGCTCGGCTTGCTTCTGAAGGAAGCAGTGCCAGTGCCACTGCCAGAGCGGAACCGGCAGCCATTGTCGTTGATCACGGAAGGAGCCATGGTGACGAGGAGGATCCCCCAGAGAGCAGAAAAAAATGGCGAAGCAGCCTATGACGAAAAAAGCGTTTCGGCTGCAGAGTTGCGCAGACTGGTTCAAGAGAATAAGCTCGTTGCTGCTGCTCTCTGGAGGGAATCTCGACGCGACTGGGTGAAGAGAGAGTACGGTGAAGAGAGAGAAGGTTGATTCTGGCGGCCTGAAGGACTCCCATTTATGCTCAAATCGGTGATCGCGCGGCGATTCTTGGGGTGTCACAGCAGCACCTCTGGGATTCTGGTAGCACCATCGCGGAGAGCTTCGGCTGCGACGCGGCGTCGCCAGACAAAGCCGGTTTGTCGTCCAAATTACGGAAGCGGGAGCGATACTAGAGAGAATCCGCACTACCGAGCCGCGGTGTGATTGACCGGGGTTTCAAGCCAGATGCATTCTTCCGAGCCTGCTGCATCAGCCGAACCAGGTTGATGTGCTTTCCGAAGCAGACGAGCAGGCACGGGTAGCAGCCCGACCCTGGCAAGGGAAGGCGGCTCGCCATCCATACTGACTTTGCGGCTGTGCACTGTGCTGGGAGTATACCTAGATCGGAGGTAATCGCGGGTGTATCTAGAACGAATTCGGGGAGGGAGGCGGTACTAACCCAGTTCACACCTCGCGACAATGTTTACCGCGGCAGCATAGCAGCTTTCCGGGCAATCCAAAATTTATTTTCCTGTTGCTGTCGCTGCTGGTCCTATAGGGTTGCTATTTTACTTGACCCCCGATTGAATCGAATCGGCACTGTACGGTACACTACTACACTGCACCTCGTCCTAAGTCTGCTGACAGCAGGTCATAACCCCCCATAGGGTTGCAAGTTGCAACTGTACTGATGCTGAGGGCCAATCTAGGGACTCGTTTATCTGTTTCTAGCGGAAACAATATGTATCACTGGAGGAAATGTGAGAAGGGTCGGTCAGTTTTCTGGGCAAAAAGAAAGAGAGAAATCCACACCAGCCGCGACTGATGCGTGCACCCGTTTTGGTGGGCCTGACACCGCGATTTTCGGAGGTTCGGTTGGAGCAGGCCCTTGTGGAGGAACTAGTGGAGAAACTACTGTACTGTAATCTGCCTCGCTGCGGAGGAGGCACACGAGGAATACCCCGAAGGATGAGTGATTCCAGAACGCTTACCACATCACCCACACGTGGCAAAGCGCCGCAATCCCTAGGGCACTCACAGCGGAGGAGGCATGGGGATTACGCGGCATGCTCGACTATTGGAAGACAATCTGCAAGCACGCAAAGCACGCCTTTCCCTGCCATCGGCTGGGAAACTGCACAGGGCAAGCACGCCTGTAACGTGCGTAAGACACGCCTTACCCTTCTATGCGTGTGCTCTAGGCAAATGTACGGTGCAGCATGACTGTACAAAGCGATAACGTATAAGCAGTGTGTGTGACGAAGTGGAGGAAAGGGAATGCCTTGATTCCCATGACTGATCTGGTACTGGTATATCCGTGATGGTGAACAAGAGGGATCTGTGGTTTTCTTTTTCCATTCCATTAATTGCTGGTATATCATATATGCTTGCGTGCTTGTCTGTTTTGTTTCATGTTGTGTAATGTTTGTGCAGAACTCTGGTCGCAAGAGAAAAAATCACAGGATGTAAATACCATAAATGGGTGGCTGATTTTGCACTATCAGATGGTGGGCTACAGAGAAACACCCACTAAAATGCCATTCGTGTAAATAATCAAGTCATGTTTCTTTCAGCAGCTTGGGGATGACAGAAATAGTTAACTGTACACATAGTGCAACCTGAAAGCACCGTCACCCTGCAGAGCGGCCTAATGCACCACGCTTCAGGTGATAGGTGCCTGAAAAAATGGCCAGGGTTTGAATTTGCCACAAACGATGCCGTGCTATGCCTTCTAACTCACCCTGCAGAACGGTCCACTACACCACATTCCAGGCAGCTCATCTGGCTTCAACAGGCCAGAATTTGAGATGTCTTAGAAGATGCTTCAAAAGATGTCGCAGCATGTCAATTAACTCACACTGCAGAGCGGTCCATTGCACCACGCTTCAAACAGCTCATCTGGCTTCAACAGGCCAGCCTCAATGGGGCGTGTTCGCATCTGGCTTCTGGGGAGAGAGATGCAGCTCAGCGGATAGACAGCAGCCGCAGCGGGAGTTGATGAAACAACTGCAGATGTAGCAGAAGCTGGTGCAGCAGCAGCAAATTCAACAGCAGAAGCAGCAGTAGCTGGTGAGAGCACAGGTGGGAGCCAAGAGGGCATATCTGATAGCACTGATGCTGCCATTGAGGTGAAAGTTGGGGTGATAATACACACACTGCTTGCCGGGCTGAGAGAGGAAGACGGTAACAATCCTTGAGTCATCTCAGTGAGAATTGGGCCCTCCATTGCTGACGAGAGTGAAGATTCAGGAGAAGATTCAGGTGAAGATTTGGGTGTAGAAGTTGAGAGCAGGAGGGCATCGCTGATTCTCCTCAGCTCAGCCTCGATGAGGAAAGATGTGATGGCTTGATCAGCAGCCAGTGCAGCGGCTGCATCTTTTCCATCGATTACATTGGCTGCATCAGCAGCAGCAATTGCAGCAATCGAGTCAGCAGCAGCAGCAGCGGCGGCGGCGGCGGCGGCGGCGGCGGCGGCAGCAGCAGCATCCGCATCATAAGCTGCGGCAGCGGTCAAATCAGAATCAACGCCTGGAAAAAACATGTCTACAGAGAAGCACGGATCAGCCACACCAGGAGAGACAGCCTTGAGGCGTGTAACAGCTCCGTGTAAACTTTCTCCCGCGTCACCAGAGATCAAATCAGCGAAGGCGGAAAAATCCGCATCAGCTGCAATCTCACCAACTGGTAGACTCGGACCAGGGCCAATAGGACCTGGACTTGTACACACCAATCTGCGAGTCTCGTCAACCGAAGTTAAATAATCAAACAACACTTTATCCAGTTCAGTTTGCAAAGTGTTCTGGGGAGGCCATTCGGCCAGAAGAAAAGCTTCTATTTCCTTCAGCTCCTGAAGGGGAGGGTATGCGAGAGTGGGAGATGGAGGGTGAGAAAATGTTGCAGGGGTTGGAATGTGGGGCGAGGCTGAAGGATGTGACAATTGAGGGGAGGTTGGGTGGGAGGCTGATGCAGGAAGGGGTTGGGGGAGTTGCTGTGAGGCGGAGGGGAGTTGCTGTGAGGCGGGGGGGAGTTGCTGTGAGGCTGGGGGGAGTTGCTGTGAGCCTGGGGGAAGCTGTCGTGAGGCTGGGGGGAGTTGCTGTAACGATGGGAGGAATCGCTGTGACGATGGGAGGAGCTGCTGCTGTGAGGCTAAACGGTGTGGTGTCGAAGAGCGTTGCTGCTGCAGTACCAACGCATGGAGTTCACGCCCAGGGGAGCATGATGGGGTCTGAGAGTGAGTGGGGTCTGAGACCATGGCTGCTGGGCTTGCAATTTCAACCATCGCCACCGCTGCCGCCTCCACCACCGCTGCTGCTCCTGCTGCTGTGGCTTCTACTGCTGTTGCTTGTGCTGTTGCTGATGCTTCCGCTGTTGCTGCTGCTGCTGCTTCACCCTCCGCACTGACTTGAAGTGCCACTGTTGACGCTGCTCCAATCCGGGGATCCAACGACGTTATTGTTCTCTCTGTCTCAGCCGCCATGTCCAATGCCGTAGCGAACCGATGCTGATACGGTGTGTGCTGCTGCTGGCGTAATGAGTTGCGGAGAGCTGAACCCGATGAAGCAACAACTCCTGGAAAGCTCTGAACGTTGCTGAGCGAGGAACCAAAAGTAAGATCTCCTGAATGATTTGGCACAGCAGGTTGCTTCAACTTCAAGAGCTCAGTTATTCTCGGCTTGTCAGTCAACGCCATCATCACTGTCCAATCCCTGTCCTTGTGCGACGTACCCCGGTTCAGTCTTCGAGATGAACGGGAACGAGAAGAGTTTCTGTGTGCCGTTTCCTCGCTCGGATTGGAGAGCTTTCTGCATGACATGGCAAGGGGAACAAGGGAATGCGACAGACGAGAAATGAGGCAGTATCGAGCGGTACGTTTTGTGTCAAGTCAATGTAGTGTATCATCTTTCTGAGAGGTAAATTTAACAGTGATAGCGTCGCCACACGAGAGTACGAGAATCAGGAATGAAGAAACGTCAAGTTGGAAAGTCAGGCATGTCAGGTAGTGATGACAAAGCTGCTGCGAATGATGATGCACGCGCTTGGGAATGGTATTCAGCAGCATGGAGCACATTGCGAGCAAAATGCAAAGCCTGAGCATGAATAATCATACCCTTTGAGCACAATAAAGCGGTTCCAGCACGCCTTGTGGTTTCGCGTGGGTAGGAGACCCATGGACTTTATCAGTGACCATTTTTTTGTGCCATGCCTTGCCACATAGGCCAATAATACCTCGTCTTCCTGCACAAACCAACAAAAAGAAGAACAGTGATACTAACACAAAATTCCTATATTTCAGAATGGCGATAACCATATATCAACTAAAAAATCACAACAGAAGAAGGTTCACTGTACCTCCGGCCTCCAAAGTGCACCACTAACGCGCTTCTTCTTCTCCTTAGCACCACCAGGAACCTGCTCTTTTAACCCCCAACTCAACACAGGCCTCATTGCTTCTACTATTGGAGCCCGAAATTGCTTCTATTTGAGACGTCTCGCAGATTGTTACTACAAATTCAGAGTCAGTACTCCTGGGAACTGGCTGATGGATATACCTTTGAACGAGTGGATGCGGCACCCCAGCGACGCGACGCGAGCAGCGAGACGAGAGTCAGTACTCCTAGGAATTGGCTGATGGACATACCAGAAACTGAGGCAGCTGGACTGACAGTTCGGCGAAAAGACCTTGTTATCTAGTTTCAAACAAAATGAGGCACGAGCTGAAGCTCTCCGCCAACGGCTTCTTCAAATTAAACTTCCCGAAAGGGAGCTAATGCGTCTGAAAGGACGACCTCGAACCGAACCGGGGACAGAACCTTTCGGAGAGAACATC